TTTTTTTTTTTGGCTCATGTCGAATTTTATATTTATTTTGAAAATTTTTAGATAAATGGAAGTTTCATAAGTCTAACTTTCAGTTGATTGTAGGTTGTATAACAGGCTTTTCTGATGTTTTGAGTTTTTGGGCGTCGCCATTTGCCGGAATTTCGTCGCTATAAACGGCATTCACAATATTTTTGATATATTTCAATTAAAGGGTACGATGATTTGCTTATTATAATAATTATCACATTTCAAAAAAATGCAAAAGTACAGAAAGTTGGTTAAGAATGGAGGTTTATTTGTTATATTTATATTGTCATGTTGAGTGATTTAATTATTTTTCACAAAGAATAATACTATTTATCTAGCTAGAATCACATAGTAATTATGCGACATTTATTGATATATCATCTTAAATACATAAAGGTGGACCATGTTCCTGTTCAATAATACTCCCTCTGTCCCACAAAAATGAGTTGAGATTTGATATCCATTTTTATTGTCTAATTTGCTACCCACCAAATTGCAAATTGACGCATCATTTTAATTTTTCATGATATGTTAATTTGTAAATGGGTGGACAGCTAATTGGACACATAAATGGACAACAGATCTCAACTCCACAAAAATAGTCATGCTTTCATTTTTTTTGTTCCAAATTATAGGCCACCTTCTTTGTTAAGTTATAATTAAGGTCTTAATTTTTTAATATATCTCTATTTAATGTATCTTATTATCAATAAAGATGAACTACTATTATTCAATGTAGGGGATTAGGAAAAATTTATGTAAAATTCCTACATATATTAATTAATTTTTCTTAATCTATGTAAAAATAAAAACAAACATATCTTTATGCAATGAAGATAATATTAAAGAAGTTCTTCAATTGTGGCCTAGAGAGTCAATTGTCTAGTACGATCCGAAAGGGAGTTTAATCAATTCAATCCTCATCGGTGTACCTCAATTAAAACTTGTAAGAATATTTAGCACCTGTTTGATTTTTCTAAAAATCATATTTCAGTATATTATGATAAAAGTTGATAAAATATTTTCGTTAAATCTTAAAAAAAAAAAAAATTCAAACGGATGAGATATGTATTCAATCACAAATTGAACCCTTCACGTATGTATTGTCTACTGGTTATGGATTTGATAACTTGAATTACAATTTAAGTTTCTCGTGTCTTTGTCCACACACTGAATCTCCGCGTAGATTTTGACGTATTGATTTCGTAGATAGAGAAATGCATGGCCATAAAAACATGGGATTCTGTTAAGAAATAACAGTTGCTTCAGTTAATATCCTTAGCCATTCTTCCAACCATGGAAATTGTACACACAAAAACTAATTCATAAATTTGTTAGTTAATTGAGCTTATTTTATTTACATTATTAAACTTTTACTTACCTGTTTTGATTTGAGGTTTTTGTACTGGAATTGTGAAAAATAAGATCTAAACTAGTTCGAACTCGCTAGGTATCGATAGTTTGGTCTAGGTGGTTTGAGAACTAGATTGAATTGATTCTCGTTAGGAATTAATTTTGTAGCTAGAACATTGAACCGAATCCATTCTTGATTCTAATAACTAGGACTGTAAACTATTGTAACTCGAACCGGACCAAATCACTTAGTTCGGTCCCATTTTGGTTTGAGATAGTTCCATGTAGTGTCACATCTAATGATATCAAAACAAGTGTGTTGGTCCAAACCCTCCTAACCTACCCACCAGGGGCGGACGCGGAACTGGAAGTTTAAAGTTGGGGGTACAATCGAACTTGCAAAGAAGTTGGAAAATTTTTACAATCGAAAATTTATGTCAAAAAAATTTATACCCCATATAATTTTGCATCTGAAAATTTACATGGAATGTGACTTTTTAGGATGTAAAATTTTGAAAATTTTTGATGTCATATTTCATATAAAATTTTCTAATAAAACGATGAAAATCACATTGAGAAATTTGTATTGCAAAAATAATAAATGTTAATGAAATAATTGAATTTTTTTAAAGAAAATGCGAGTTAGACGCATTTTTTAAAAACTCACGTTTAATGTATCTTTAACTATTTTTTATATCTATTTAGACTATTCGATATGCTTATAATATAGTTCTCGAAATAAGTTTGGAGATAACATAAGCAATTTGTAGATTCGATTAGCGTACGATCGTCGAAAAAATTTTAAAGTTAGTATGTTATCGAAATTTTCGAAATACTAATTTTGCATAGTCTACTTTGACAAGTCATAACATTTATTACGATTGATCGTTTCGTACGCCATTAACAACGTAGAAGCTAGACTGTGGCCACTTCGAAATGGTATTAAGAATACAATATTTTGATTTCGTTTCACATCTCATAATGATTTCGAAAATTGAAACAAAAACATAGAAAATTTAATGGTGAAAAAAAAGGAGCAAAATTGGGGGGGTCACGTGAACCCCAGGCGACCCCCTGTGTCCACCCATGCTACCAACATAAAGGCCTCACCGCTACCCTATCTATGCAGTCCGCCGTGCTTCTTTTAACACATTTTGACACCGCTAATTGTCACAAATGTATATATATTATTATTACAAAAAAATAAATAATAATAAAAAAAACTGAACGGACGTGAGCGTGTTCATCACAATTAGGTGATTTCGGGTCATTATTCATAGCTCGATAATATCATAATAATCGTTTTCATGGTGTAATCTTTGGTATAAATACAATAGTGTAACCATATAAACAAAAGTCATGCAATTTATGCATATAAAGGTGACGGATGATAAGGTTGTCTACCAGATAAACAAGCGCACACATACGCAACATCTATATATACACACATATATATATGTATAGATACATAAGATATAGAAACCTTAAACTGACAAAGGACAACCTAAGAAATTGCAGCGATTGTTACTTTCGTTTCTTTGTGAAGCTTTGGAAGAAAGAAACGCTAACTCATTGGTTGTCACACATTCTAAGTTATATGTACATAAATCTTTTCATTCAAGTAAGTATTTTATACGATCGAGCTTAGACACGTTTGGTGAAGAATTCAAGATGTGGGCCAGATTCAGAACCCCAAAGATCAAGAAAGGTTTGTTTTCGAAAACGTCTTTCATTTGATTTGAAATAATCGAAATTTTGTGAGTGATTCGACAAAATTTAATATACATTTTGATTTCAGACAAGAAGAAAGCATTGAAAGAATGTCACAAAAGTCTCAATGTCAACGAAGAGTATCTTGGTGCATTTAGAACAAAATCCTACGGGGATTTCTTCATAAAAGCTCAATTACTAGTAAATGAACCTTCATCACCAGCTAATTACTGCCATCAAGGGTTCTTAGAAATTCTTGACCCCGGCCAAGAAACTATAGCACAAGTTCTTGAATCAGCAGTCCTTTCGAGAAAGTCGAATCTCAAATCCCTCCTCTTCAATTACTTCGATATGAGTGCGGAGGCCTCGGAATTCTGCAGCCAACTTCTCAAAAGCATAAATCAAGTTCAAGCTGATTACAAATTTATTCATCAAGTTCTTGACACCATTGATGACTTTTCTACGGAGAAATTTCACTTAATCGTGTCTGAGCTCCATTCGTGCATCTTTAATCTCAACAAACAAGATTTCAAGCGCATCCAGGAAAAATACACATCAATTCTTCAACTCCTCAAGTCAAAGCGGAAGTTGGTGACGAGAAAGATTAAATTGAAAAAATGGTTCAACAAGGCGTCCGGGGTATGTATAACATTAGCCTGTGGCATGGTTGCTGTTGTGGCCATGGTTCTAGCAGCGCATACTCTAACCGCATTACTCATGGGGCCCGCAATTTTCAGCTTACCTGTGAAGCCATTAAAGAAAAAACTTCTTAATATTCAATTCTTGAAGTACGGATTTCTAAGGAAGATTGGAGAACAACTTGATGTGGCTACTAAGGGTACATATATTTTGAACATGGAATTCGACACCATGAGTCGACTCATGTCTAGAATTCAAGACGAGATCGAACATAACAAGGCAATGATTCAGTTCTGTTTGGATAGGAGGGAAGACAAGTTTTCTTTCCAAGTATTGAAGGACATTAAAAAGGGTGAATTTGGGTTCAAAAAACAAGTGCAGGAGCTTGAAGAACATGCGTACTTATGCCTTGTCACAATTAATCGAGCTAGAGCTTTGGTGATTAAGGAAATTACAAAATCTTGTGTAAATAATTCAATGCACTAGACATTTTCCCTTTTTATTCTGTACAGTACAGTTATTCTTTAGTTTGTAAATACAATTTCTTATGTAAATTAACTAAGGGTCTGTTTGATTGACAAAGGTAAAAGACTTTTAAATTTCATGTAAATTGGAAAATAAAAATTCAAATACCCTATAAAAATGCATTTTCTATGAAATTGACAAAAAACAAGTTTAAAGTGATTATACCTTGGAATTCGAACTTCTTTCACATCAAATAACCAAAGTAGAAATTGAATTTCTCGGATGTGATATTTTTCGTGGAATTTAAATCAATCAAACTGGCCCTAAGTTTAATTTGAATAAGAATTCTTTGACGCCATTAAAAACATAAATTTTTATATTAAACAGTTCATCATCATATTAAAGATTCAAATCTCATCACCGTCAATATATAAAAATCACAAAAATGAATCGAACGCGTTCTTACAAATTTCAAATATGACGTGTTCTTTTCCATGTTTCAAATATGAAAAATTCCTTGAGTACATGAATTTTTGACAGATTTTTGCCATAAATTTGAAATGTTTCAATTATATCCGTGTGTGTGTATTTTTCCTCCTCCAATCTTTCAATTATTTCCCTTTCCCTTCATTCCAAATCTCTGTATGTTTTCTGTGAAAAATTCCTGTACTTATAGCAGGGTTCTTCAAATATGCATTTTGAGGATTTTGTTTAGTCCTAGGAAGAAGGGGAATTCTTACATACTGGGCTCAGGGCTCATAACCATTTGATTGAGATTCTATGCATTTACCAAAAAAATAGTTCTCCTTTTTGAATATTCTTTGATTGCTATGCGAATTTCATTTGCCTCTACCAACTACCCAAATGTCAAAATTAAATCTCAAGCCAACTCGGATATTGCATGTGCCAGTTAGATAACATTAATTACATTGATGTACGGGTTTTTACGATTTTTATTGCATTGATTCAACGTTCATGGTCAACATGCTTCGTTTGCAAGTCATTTATTTTTTTTTCACCCATTATTTATATAAAATATTCATTTGCAGAAGATATAAATTAAAAAAGACCTGAAGTTCATTTTGTGCAACAGTCAGAAAAGGTTTGCTTTGCAAATTCACCCTCCTTCGTTTGTATTTCATTTTTTTCTAATAAAATTACAAGTTAATTAACACAATTTCTCTTCACAAAAAATCTTGCACGTTAGTATCCAGCATTCTTACTGTACTTTTCTTGAATTTTCATCGCAAAAGCTCGATTCTTTATTGATTTTAGCCACCCTTCACAAATTGAGTCTTACTATGTGTGTAATTTATTTGCGCCAACACATATTTCCTGTATCTATATTCAATCTCGTTTATCAAGTGTCAACCTTGATTAAGTTTCTTGAACTGGGTTAAATTCTATACCAAACAGTCTGTGCTTGGAATCGACTGTTGGGTGCTTTGGTGTTTTTGGTATTGGTTGGTTTGTTAAGTGTAAAGTTGAAACTTTTTAAAGTTTTTTAGTGGCTTTTTCCATGTGCATCTAGCATGATTTTCTCGTGTTCTTCGCATTTGCAGTCTCAGTTTTTGCGGGATTCAAGAATTTGTTCTCAATCTTGGTCAGAAAATCTGGGTGTGCATTATTTGTTTCTTGCTGTGCTCTTTTTCTGCTGAATTTTGATCTATATATAATTGGGATGAGTTCTCTGTAAGGGTTTAAGTTGAATTTCAGTATTTTGGCTGCTTGTTGGGAATTTATATTACACTAGAGCCGTAGAGCTTATTAGATGATATGGAGAATAATAGGAGGGAGAAAATGCCAAAAAATTCAGAAGATAGGGCGAGGTTAGATCAAACTCATGGATATGAGGAATCAATTCATAAATACGATCCTCCACCATATGGTTTGAATAATGGTTTGTCAAATGGGGCAAAAGAGGAGGAAAGTTCAATGGAAGTGACGGATGTGACTATTGATGAACCAAATGATAGGCCTTCAGATGAGCAGTCGGAAGTGTGTTCTACGCCTGAAGCAAACTACCAGAGGAGCATTTTGCAGTCTTCATCTGTCATAGAGCGTTCTTGGTGGAAAGATCCAAGTGTTAGTCCATCACCTCGGGCAAAAAGAGGTTTGTGATTATAATCTACCATTGTCAATTGTTGATATGAATACGAACTTTGCAAGTAAAAATCAATTTATTTAGATCTCGATTCATGTCGTGTTCAGTCTTGATGGTTGATATAAAATGATATAATCAAAGTTCTTCACTATGGATAATTTCGCTAACATAAGCTTCTGTATGAAGTTGTTTTTCAGACCTTCATTTCAACCTTGAGCAAGTTTGGACATTGATCTAGTGAAAAATCTTGGTTTCAATGAGGTCTCAAGGACTGCCTGAAGACTGGAAGTTCTGTCTTATCGTTTTATGTTGGATGTTCCCCCAGAAACATAAGACACGTTTGACCGATCCTAAGGTCTTTAAATTTAGAAAGTGAATACGATTAAGTTCTCATATTTTTTGTTTGAGAAACTTGCAAGCCTTCCGAAGGTTGAAGAACCAAATAGTTACATATCCACCACTTGTTTCTCTAAAATCTGAGAAGCTCTGCCTATCATTTTATAAATCCTTTCACTAATTTATGTGTCCTTAGTTCAAAATCTAGGAATTATGCATGCGTGCTTGTTTGTTCCAACTAATTGAAAAACGAATGACATAAATAAGAAGAGTTTCTATTTGTTCCTGTGTGAAGTCGGGGAAAAGAGCACACCCCTGATTGCAAAACCTTAAGTTCCCAAACTGTTATGAGAAATGTTGTAGCCTTAAGGTTTAGTTATTGCAATTATGGTCTCCTATTCCTCCCAATGTTTCATCTCTCATGCTTTATGTCCTGTGAGACTGTTTCCACACAAACTCTCAGAGATCTTTCACTAAATTATTTTCTTTAGCTTCTAATTCTCTTGCAGAGAGAGTGTGCAAGAGCTCTCTTTTCGGTCTTAAGGGGAAGATGATACCAACTTATTTTCCTTTACTGATATGACCGCTCAAGACTGAACCTGATCTATACATGATTTAGCATTTATCCTATTAGAAACATCGTACTAGTTCAGTCCTCTGGTTCACTATTTTATACCAAATGTGTTATGTTGCTTGCTTGGTATATTCTTGAACTACTCTGCAATTTGAAGATGCATTTCTATTGGTAATCACAGCTGAGCCTCTGTTTGGGAATAATTTAAAAACAGTTTAATTTATAAAGGATAGAAATGAGTGGTGGATGAGTGGATAGTACTTGTGGGTCTATTGGAATGTGTGGTTGAAAATGAAGTTTGACCATTTATAAATGATTTATAAATTTTGTCAAACGGAGGCTGAATCTGAGTGATCAAACTTACGTGGTGAAGACAATCTCTAAAGTGTGAGGTAGATGAGAGAATTTGTTTTGTTTCTTTGAGCTTAGAGATTTGAATGTTTCTTATTTGAGCGTTGTTTCTATTTAAGGTTTGGACCATTGCATCACAGCACCTCTGGGCACTCGCAGAAATCTCTTATTCGAAAATGAGGATGGCGCATTTTCAAGGTCTATGACTGAGAAAAGGGCTAGTCCAAGGATTGACCTAAAATTTGATAGACTCTCTGAACGTGAGAAGGTGAATTTCGCAGCTAACTACATCTTATAACTGGCTTAAATTCCTTCCCTACCACACTTTTAAGTTTGAGTACTTTGTGTTTGCATAAGGTAGATATAATTTACGAATCCCCGTGTACCTATGTTTCTTATATAATTTACGCATCCCCGTGTACCTATGTTTCTTATTTGGATATCTGCTGCTGCTTAATTTGCTCGATGCCCTTTTGCTTTGTAACTTACTCGTGTAGCATGTCTGTTGCATTAGAGGAGAAGATACAAAAACTGTGAGAATAGTTTAATTTAGTGTTACATATTTTAATTTTTTGTGATGAGGGGACAAGTCACTATGCCTTGTACTTCTACTCGTGTCTTCTCATCCTTTTGAGTGGTTACCCTTTCCTTGTTCTGATTGGTACTTGCACTTTTTTGTGTCATTCTAATCAGAGAAAGCTCATTGTGGAGTTAGTGAAGATCCAAAATGATGGAACAGTGGAGGTTGACCTCACTAAGAGTACACCTGTTGCTTCTGAATTCATAGAGCTTCATTCAGTTGAAGGAGTTCCTCCAAGTACTGATTGCATCACAAGGTCCACAACTGATCTGAACAGATCAATTCCAAAATTGAACATCGCAGTGCTTGTAGTTGGAACGAGAGGAGATGTTCAGCCCTTTCTGGCTGTGGCAAGGAGACTTCAAGTACGTAAATTAAATTCAAACTTGCATGAGTGCACAAATTGATGATAGTTTTATGCGGTTTCACATTATCATTATCATTAGCCTCCCATTTGCGTTGCTACTTTTTCTACAGCTAAAATCCTATTTTATTTATGCTATTGAAATTAACATGACTTGAGATTCTGTGAGATTCAAAACCAATATTCTAGGCATCAAAAGAATGAGGTAACTAGGAGTGAAGTATCTTCATATAGGGTTTAGTCATCTAGAACTTCAACTATAACGACCCGACCTTGCGCTGGAATCGTCATCGTATCATACGTACTGTCCGCTTTGGGAGGGCCTATGCCCATCTTACCCCTTACGGATTTCTGATGAGTCCCCCAGGATTCGAACCCAAGACCTCCATCTTATGGGAGACTTAAGTTGAATTCTGGTACCAATTGGGTCACCTCCATCATATGCGAGACTTAAGTTAAATCTTGGTACCAATTGGGCAGCGCGTTTTTTGTAACGACCCGATTTCGCGCCGGAATCGTCATCATATCATACGTACTATCCGCTTTGAGAGAGCCTAGGCTCATCTTACCCCTTATGGCTTTGTGACGCGTCCCCCAAGATTCGAACCCAAGACCTTCATCATATGGGAGATTTAAGTTGAATCCTAATATATAATAATTGGCACTATCTCCATCATTTTGATAAGCCTGATATCAGGTAGATAGTCAATACATACATATTCAGCCACCATCTGCAGCCTCCACCCACCAACACCACCAGGTCCACCACCAATGGACAGCAGTGAATACCCAAACAAGCTCTCCTCCAACCTCAATGAACCTACAACCACCCAGCCCCTCCTCTCCCACCCCTACCCTACACTTGACCCACCCCCCGTAGCCTCCACCTCTGAACTAGAAGATGACCAAACACAATACCTCCAGATCTCCTCCAATCCAATTGGTACCAGGATTCAACTTAAATCTCATATATGATGAAGGTATTGGGTTCGAATCCTGGGGGACGCGTCAGAAAACCATGAGGGGTAAGATGGGCCTAAGCTCTCCCAAAGCGGACAGTACGTATGATATGATGACGATTCTGGTGCGAGGTCAGGTCGTTACATCAACTATTAAATTAATAGAGAAAATGTTGTATCTTATGTGGAATTAGAGTTGATCTCTTCAGGGAATTTTTTGGTTGCAGAAAGGTTATGTTGTAGATCAAAAATATATAAAGTATCTCTCTGACCACATGAGCTTTTAGATGAGCATGAGATGGTTTAACATGTTAGCAAAGTTTAATGTCTTCGGTGAAAGTCTAGCAGCCATCAATTTTTGAAATTCCACGATATAGGTCTTTGACGAAGAAGGGGCGTGTTGAACATAAATCATAAATAAATTTATCTTACTCTAATAGTTAAGCTTTTAGATGAATTGGCTTATTAAGTTAATAAAAATCACTCAATTTTGATAGGGTAGAGTTGGCTGAAAAGATGCTATATTTTTACTAATTACCCTTGTAAATCAGGAAACATTGCAGTAGTAATCTTCATTTCACTGTATTTAAATGTCTACTTCCCTTTCATGTTTTCGTGTGACGAGCTTGACAAAATAGATTCCATTTTACATTGCACCCTGTTTAATATTCAGCTCTAAACATTAATGCAGTGCATTCTTGGCATTTTATTTGGAACATAGCGTTTTATGCATTGTACTTAACTCAATCTTGATTTTAACCTATAATATTCTTGACTACAGGAATATGGTCATCGTGTTAGGCTGGCAACTCATGCTAACTTCCGTGAATTTGTGAAGTCAGCTGGGGTATATTTTTACCCACTTGGTGGCGACCCTCGGGTTTTGGCTGGATGTAAGGGGTCCTCAACGTGCATATGCATACCTGTCATCACTATATGAATTGTAGTAGATCTACTGAGGCATTAGTATGACTCTCATTTAGTCTCATTAGGATTCTTATGCGTATTCTGTGACCTTGGGATCCTAAGTATAGAATGCAAGTATCCTGTCTCTCTTTTTTCCATTATATTATTGTTTTCCCCTCCACCCCACCACAGGAGGAACAATATTCCCTCCTGTTGTTTTATCTAGTGTCACTATCTAGTTCATAGCTTCATTTAGATGTGGCAAACTCTATTTTTATTGTTCAAGTCAATGATATATACGGATGTTGTTCACCATTTCAATGTATGACTTAGTAGTCTTTATCTACTTGACAGTAAGTTTTATATTTCCTCTAGTACTGCAGCTGTTAAATTCTCATTTAACTTCTAAAATTTAATTAATAGAATCAAATCATCAATGATGGGGGCACTTCTTTGAGTGATTTTTTTGTAATTGTAGATATGGCCAGAAATAAAGGTCTTATACCATCAGCGCCGGGAGAAATATCTGTACAAAGAAAGCAAATAAAAGCCATTATTGAGTCTCTCCTTCCAGCTTGCACAGAACCTGATGTAGAAAATGGTGAACCATTCAGGGCTCAAGCAATTATTGCAAACCCTCCTGCATATGGTTAGTTATTGTAATGTTACTCCGTTAAAAACTTTTCAAAATTTTGCTAAATGATTATTGTAGAATGTCTATGTTTTGATGGAATTTAAATCTTTTAGCATAACCATTAATCAGCATTTAGCAATTTACAGTTGAGAACCAAATTAAGAGGAAATTTGGATTTTGAATTTTTAATAGTTGCTTTTGAAAACTTAACTCGTCAAATACTTCAATACGGTTGCTCAGTTGCATCTTTGAGTGGATGTAGTGATGTACTGATTGGAATGGTGAAACGGATTTATATAGCCGGCCCCAAATTTATTGGGAATTAGACTTTGTTTGTTGTTGTTTGGAAGCGTTTGTGTTTCACTTCAAATATTTCCTAATTGTTGTCAGGACATGCACATGTTGCTGAATCTCTTGGTGTGCCCTTGCATATCTTCTTCACGATGCCTTGGACGTGAGTTTAGATATTCATTTCTGTTTATGTTTCTCAGTTCTCTCTCTTACTTACCCTTCTAAGTAATTGAACTAATATTAAGTTGTCTGATATAAGAATTACGTTTCATTAAAAAAAAATATATATTTCTCTACATTTCCTCTCGAGGAAGGATAAAAAATGTGCACTTATAAAAATAACCATTTCAGCAGTATTTGATGTTTCGAAGATTGGTTTTTGGTTCTATAAAATTGACACAAAAGGTTTCTGTAGATAAATTTATTTCTAGAGTTCGGAATATATGCTTTATTAATTTGGCCTTTTATTGTTATATACTGATGCGTACTCTTTAGCTGAAGAGAGAGAAAATAAATTCTTACACGTGTATTCAATAGGCAGGCCCACATATGCATTTCCTCACCCGTTCGCACGTGTACCTCAAAGTGCAGGATACTGGGTATGTTATAAGTTGTCTGCAGACTTTTTTTACTTTTGCAATTTCGATATAAATCTTTATATGGATTTCATAGACGAAATATTCTCAATAATATTTCTTTGTTGATCCAGCTTTCGTACATTCTTGTGGATTTACTAATATGGTGGGGCATAAGAGGGTATATTAATGACTTTAGGAAAAAGAATCTGAAGCTTCCGCCTATTGCATACTTCAGCACGTATCATGGGTCAATATCTCATCTGCCAACAGGCTACATGTGGAGTTCCCATGTTGTGTCCAAGCCAGAAGGCAAGTACATCATTTAGTTGCTTGACATTTTTTGATTTACTTAATGATCTTTACATTCTAAGAGCATGTTTGGCTAAGCTTAAAATCCAATTAAAATTGAAAATATAGTCGTTATTGGGTCCACTCGTCTAATAAAAGTCAACAATAACGGCTAGTTTTTCAATTTTAATCCGATTTTAATCTCTACCGAACACACCCTAAATAAGTTAATATTGGTTAATGTCATCATAGATGCAAGTTCAACTTTGCCTGTTGTCCAAGCCAGAAGGCAAGTACATCATTTAGTTGCTTGACATTTTTTGATTTACTTAATGATCTTTACATTCTAAGAGCATGTTTGGTTAAGTTTAAAATCCAATTAAAATTGAAAATATAGTCGTTATTGGGTCCACTCGTCTAATAAAAGTCAACAATAACGGCTAGTTTTTCAATTTTAATTCGATTTTAATCTCTACCGAACACACCCTAAATAAGTTAATATTGGTTAATGTCATCATAGATGCAAGTTCAACTTTGCCTGTTACTAACAATCTTTTATCTGCATAAACCACATGATTGATAAGCAATAATGGGTGGCACTAGACACTACTATGAACAAGATTCTAGCTTCTTTTTCTTGTTTACTATAGTCAAGACCTATATAGTACTGTGAACCAAACACGCACAAAAAAATTGTTTTCATTGATGCTTTTTTTTAGCAAAGCCTTATTGAAGGACTAATTGCATTTAAGTGATGTGCAGATTGGGGCCCTCAGGTTGATGTTGTTGGTTATTGTTTTTTAAACCTTGGGTCAAAATATCAACCTCCTGAAGAATTTATTCAGTGGATCCAGAAGGGACCTGAACCTATTTATATTGGATTTGGGAGCATGGTATGAGTGTCAACTCTTTGTTATTCTCATTTAAACTTGTATATTCACAGTTTTTCATTTCGATATCCTATGATTTTGTAAGCAGTCTTTCTTCACATTCCTGTAATGATTTGAGTGAAATAGCAATTCAGACCCTTGCCCCCGAAATCACACGGAAAAAGGAAAGAAGAATGTGACAATGTTGATGCCCTAATACAATCTCGTTTCTTGACAATTGCTAATATCTTTTGTATTTGGCATATCTTGCTGCATATTGTCATTCATTTTGTTCTTAAGATTTGACTCTCAATTTGGTGATGTTTGAATGATTATGTTCATCAGTGTTGAATGATAGAAAATAAAAGCATGAATAAATTTGCTTTAATATTAAATGACTAGAGGAAGCCTACAGTTAAATTCCATTTTTGCAGCTGTTCGCTATAGTTAATCTGATCCTATGTTGCTCTTGTTAAATGCCATGATTTATGATTTCATTATAAGAAAGATGTATATCTTAGTGTGTACCCTTTGAGATTTTTTGATTGGAACATTTATTGATACTGATGTTTATTTGCTTTGTAAGCCGCTTGAGGATTCAAAGAAAACTACTGATATCATTTTGGAAGCACTAAAGAATACAGGACAGAGAGGAATAATTGACCGAGGGTGGGGAGATCTTGGTGATCGTAAGTATTTTTTCTTCCTTTTTTTTTTCCATCTTTCTGCATCTTGTTGCTTCTTGCTATCAGTAAAAGTCTTTTATCATGATTGAAAATCGAACTCTCATATAGCAAGGGAATGAAACACCACTCTATAGGTATTTTTCTGAAGAACTTCTGTTTGGATTGCAGATACAGAGATTCCTGATAATGTTTTCCTTCTTGTGGATTGCCCTCATGACTGGTTGTTTCCCCAGTGTTCAGCTGTGGTGAGTTCAGCTACCTTTAGATTATGTATTTTTATTTATTTTTAGTAGAGGAAGAAAATAGTGAGAGAAATATCGCTTCCTTGATTATAACTGAAATAAATGGCTGCTGCATATTGATTTTGGAAGTTTTACGTATATGTTCATATAGTAGACAGGTTAGCATTTTCTAGATTCTGATGCTCTCACTGGGATTGGGAATACAATCGTGCAGGTTCATCATGGTGGTGCTGGGACTACAGCTGCAGGACTAAAAGCTGGGGTAATTTCTTTCTACATTTTTTTGCTCTGACGTGTATTTCATTATTTGGGAATGGTTACTGAATGATAACAGTTAAATTGAATGACTGAATTACGTCATTGGATATTAAATCTCGGTCCGCTTTATTCAATGCAGTGTCCAACAACTATAGTTCCATTCTTCGGAGATCAGTTTTTCTGGGGTGAGAGAATTCTTCAGAGAGGGCTGGGACCTACTCCAATTCCTATATCTCAGCTCAGTGTTGACACACTATCAGAAGCAATAAAGTTCATGCTCCAGCCAGAGGTATATCTGATTCCCATTTATCCCGTGCCTGTATAAAATTGGGACTGTGTTCCCTAATAAGAAAAACCAAAACGTTATTGCCTCGCTAGATTAATATTGTGAACGTTTCCTGGCAGGTGAAATCTCAAGCAATGGAAATAGCAGTGTTAATTGAGAATGAGGATGGTGTTGGAGCTGCAGTCGATGCATTCCACAGGCATCTACCTCCCGGAGTACCATTACAAGTATCTTCTTTGGAAAAAAATGACGATCCAAATCCACTGCAGTGGCTTTTCACTCAGATTGGAAGATTGTGTTGCCTACCTTGTGGTTCTTAGGTGTGTTTTCAGACAGCAGATTATTAGACAGAAAATAGTTACCTATTACTTGATTTGTTTTTTCAGTTGTTTGTATTTATTTAATATTGTCTTTCTTTTCATTAATGTACACTCGTTTACAGTGAAAGATAGTGAAACCGGTTTTTCTTTCGTTTGTTTTGGCCTTTGGCGGGAAATTCTTTCTTCATCTGCAGTTGTAATTTTCATGATGATTTTAAGGACGAGTGTTTAATTGTTTATTCGGCAAATATATGCAGCTCAATGTTGAGTAATGATCCCAGGTTCATGTCTGGTTCCTCTTAAAATACCGATGTTTCTACTGTGCCGGCAGCTCCAACTCCTTGGTGGTAAGATATTGCCAAACCGTAACACCATACCACCCGTGATTTTACCTGTGAACGTATTGATTAGACCCCGTAAACGGACTTTGCTGGCAAATTATATAGTCACGGTCTCAGATCCGAACACAGCATAGAATATGCTCTCCATTTCTTCGCTACACCTATTACATATGGTGTCCACCTTCATATGGCTATGCTGGGTGTGAAATTTGTAGGGAAAATTGCCCAAAAAACTTGTCAGATAAAGAGCTTTATTTTGCTGGGGAGATAAAGACCAAATAAATTCACCATGTTGACAGAGGATTTGACCAAACCTGTGCCTGGCTGTTCAGATTTCACATTGGAGTTCATCAAGGCCCCGCTTCCACAAGACACAAGTAAAATAATCTCACTATCCAGTGGTACAGAGCGCTCCTTAATGTACTGTTCGATTCCAATATCCCTTCGGGCTTTGAAGATGAACCATACTGAGGAGAAAAATCTCCATAGTATGGAGTAACAGGCTTGAGAAAAATAAAGAAGTCACAAGAATGAAATTTCGTAGTATTTTTACCATCCCAAACTTGCCACCGCAAGCCCTTTTGAAATAATTCGCATCCCCAATGATACTAAACCATAAATATGAGCTATCATCTTTGCAAGAAGCGTTCATAAAGGGACTTCGTAGATAATTCTGATAGTAAATAAATCAAGTGCTATGAAAATTCGTGAGAATACTTTTTCAAGAAGTGCCTAATTAAACGAAAGCCAATATCACCTTTGTTCTTTCGCTTACACAAATTTTTGAAACTTTCCTCCTCATAAAGAAGTCGTCAATCTCTAAAGATCATCGCACAATTTCTTAGGCGGCCATTGTATGTTTCGAGATTGCTTGTGCCACGACTTTGATCAACTCTTCTTGGCAAGGTTATGCTCTACCATTTAGATGTTTTTGCGAAGTAACGAATCACTACTTAGCTATTAACGTATCATTTGGTGCCGATGACTTTTATTTTCCGGCCCAGGACCATAGTCCTTCAAAAATTGGCTTTTTTACTATACAAGGATTTTTACACATGCCTAATTCCAAACATAAACCCCTTTAATGAGCAGATTCCTATTTGCAACCTACAATTCTGTTATCCAAACACGGCCTTATTGCGAGTCTCTCCTTCGCTTGCACAAATCGCCCTGCATATTGATATTGTCTCCCAGTTCCTAGCTTCTCTCCCATTGTGTTGAAAACAATGGCGATTTCAGTAGCGGCGGCTGCAGTCCCCAGAAACGTCGTCGTATCCACTTCATTATCAGTGCATTCATCAACAAAGCTTTCCCGATTGTCCTCTCTTCAATTTCCGAAGGAGCTTCGTGCTTTAACAATTCGAAACCAAAGGCTAGTATCCAAGCCCGGACCACGAACTCTTCCTCTGGTAATTACTTGGGTTTTCAGCTTATAAGTGAAAAAAGGAAAGAATATATGAATATTTGCTGGATTTTGTTAGTGCGTTTTATGAACTAAAGTCAATTGGATGTTCAGTATGATGTAGTTAGATTATTTTCGTTAAGTTCTCTATAACCTCACGCGTCGGTAGAAAAATAGCTTGAAGCAATGGAGTTTGGATTTCATGATAAGTGAATAAAAATATAATCTTGGAATCTCTAATGTTTTTCCTTTCGGGTTCTTCATGTGCTGTCAATTAAATTAATAAGATCTTTTTAATAGAAAATTCAATGCAGCATTGCATTTTCTAATTCAGTGCCTGAGTTGTCTAATAATATCCATTCATCAAATTGAGCTTCGGTCAGCAGCTTCAAAAACACATGACCAATATCTAGGAAAATGAACATGGGTTGACATCATATTGGGTGTAAATTTACACCTTTTAGTAAGACTTTAGGGTAAGATGGAGCTTCACATCCAACTAGACCTTGTGTTTGGATTGCTAGTCAAGTGTAACCTGTGTTTTGCCGGCTTTGTAGCGCTGCACAACTAGTTCAAAGCAGTTTCAAAAGAAAATGATGGGTATTTGAATATTTGTTAAGTGCAAAAATTATTGTTGGAGTATAGTACAAGACCTGTATATGAAGTTTAAGAGAGATGCTTTATGGCAAAACTGTTTTCTTACAATTACAGTGTTGCTTACTGCAGCATAATTGTGCTTTAATGAGATTTTTGTCGATTTCACCTTGTTTAGCTCCCTTTATCCAGCTGTTAGTCTCTTAGGTAATTAACATTTTGTATGTTTCCCTGTCAGGTTGAGGCCAAGAAGCAGACATTTTCTACCTTTGATGATTTGTTGGAAAATGCTGATAAACCAGTATTGGTTGATTTTTATGCCACTTGGTAAGCTTGGGTTTTTGTTATTTCACCCCTGGGCTTTCCCCTACTAAAGGAGTAGTGTTGTTCAGATCTTTTGTAATTGTTCTAGCTTAATTGATCAGTTTGTACTAAATTGGATTTTACCCTATAATTTCTGGAGTAGTTCTTGTGCACTGATTTTAGTTTTGTGAAGTGGTAGTAGTTGCTTAGGCGACAGCAATGAGGGTAGGAAAATCCATGGTTGAATCTATAAATAATCTAATAGCATCTGCATTTTATAGGTGTGGTCCTTGCCAGTTTATGGTTCCTATTCTAGAACAAGTCAGTGATTCAATGGGAGATAAAATCCAAGTAGTGAAAATTGACACCGAGAAGTACCCTACCATTGCAGACAAGTACAATATACAGGCATTGCCAACTTTCATTTTGTTTAAGGATGGGCAACCATGCGATCGCTTTGTAAGTAATTGATTTTCTTTGATTGAACCTCTTCTAATGCTTATTCACATTAAATCAGAAGATTAACTTGAATGTGATTTCCTTTTTGGTCCTCCATATTATGTAACTTCATATTTACTATCAAGGGTAGCAGTCCCCCCATTTCCATTCAAGGCCTACAAAAGTTGTGTCTATCCTGGCTGGACATCATCAGCTGATCTAGATTCGAGTCCACTCTAAACTCATAAAGGGCAAGGACTGTGGTAGCCTGCTATTATGATTTTTGTTTTCTTTCTGAATAATATCGTGGATCATGAGATAATCAATGTTTCATGAGAACCGTTATGCGGTTCTACTGGCTAATGGCTTATACAACTCACGATCTAGCTTCCCAACTGCATTATAATAAAATGTTTAAGTTTCATTCAGAAGGATTTGTAAACTACCCAACCTGAACCCAAAAACTTAGGAATTGTTTTCCAACTACATAGATATCTAGCACCGTGTCTGTCCCTTGGTGAAAAGAAGTGACCAAAAAGGAAGAAGGCATCAATTCAGCACGGTCAAGTTCCGAAATTGTCGACATTCTTAAGCATGTTGAGCTGTTATTTGTGTTTCATAGAAATATTAAGTATAGCTCGTGCTTTGCCATGATTTACTATCTCATGCCACTTTCGCCTACTGCTAGAACTTGTTCATATTCTTTTTCTATTTTAAATAAAAATTAAAAAATCAATTTTGCAGGAGGGTGCAATGGCTGCTGACCAGCTCATTCAACGTATTGAAGCTTCACTGAAAGTTAAGCAGTAGTTGCAGTGGTGAGCTCCCCACTTCCTCAAAAGAAAAAAAATGAAAAAATGAAAACAAAATATGTAAAATACACAATATGATATTTATTTTTCTTCACTCATTTGATTGGACTGGATTTGACATGATTTCACAATTGCGAGAGGCCGGGCTGATGGATTGTTATCATTTCATTTAAGTTGATGCTGTTAGGTTGTTGATTCTCTCTCTTTAACACACACTCCCTCTCTGTTGATGTACTAATATAGTCAAGAAAATTGGAAATTCTTTAACAATATCATACTGTTTGAAGTAGTATTACATATAAGATGGAATTGATTTTCACAGTCGAGAAATTGTCCTGTTCTCATTACTCATTACTTCTCTGTGATGTTCAAATAGATTCCCTGTGCTGCCAACTAACGAAAGCCTTGAATCGCTTTGAATTCATTCCATCGGAATTCTCAGAGACTAACATGTCACAGCTAAATACAAAGAAATATCACATTTTAGGTTTATTAGCTATTTTTGGTACGAAAGTAACTGAATGAAACTGTTGCTGTAAAAAATTTAATAGAACACATAGTTAGATATGAAACAATAAACATGATTAGGATTAAGAATGTTGCTATGATGCTAGCCGATTTCCATGCTTATTTTTTCTTTTAAAATTTATACCAATACTCGGACCTTTATGAATCAAAAATCATTTTCATGATCCAATAATTTCCAGGATCCATCTATCTGCTGCACCATACCTTTGTTCTTCTCACACCACCATGAAACTGGAACACAGTACTCATCTTTCAAGCCATCCATATGTTTGTTAACAAGCGCAATGTCGCGATTAACTTCCAGTTTGAATCCCCCTTTGGACCCTTGTGTTCCTGCAACTCCATGCAAATAAGCCTCCAAGCTATGCCAACTGCCCAAATTTCCGGGACTTTTCAAGTAGTTTGATTCACTAGTGTCAATGGGCAACTCGTCACCAACATCTGTGTAATTTATCAATGGGTAGGTTGGAACAATATCTCGGGCATTTCTTATACGTAGAACTCGAAGACTTTGTAGACGGGAGAAGGTATTAAGAAAGTTACAGTCTCCCACCCGAGGACTGGCAAAAACGAAAGCTGTTACAGGACAAGCCTTGTGTGGCATGTCTTGAGGCCTGTTGTATCCATTGGCAACAATATCAACTGCATTTAGGGTAGAAACTGCTGCGCCCAAGCTGTGGCCTGTAATAGTTATGCTGATTTCCTCATCCTTATATTCTTCTACCAGTCTTCTAATCTCAGTAAGAACCTGAAAAATAATAAGAGAACTGGCTAATTTTAGCTTGTTATCTCTTCTGGTGCATTTAGGAGACATAATGGCATGCAAAAGTTTTCCGTTGTTTTCGGTAAAGAAAAAGAAGAAAAGTAAAGTTGGGTGGAATATAGTATTTCTTGTTACATTGAGGAATAATTTTTCACCAAATTTTGTTTTCAAAATGCTTAATCCCATCTCAATTTTCATCAACCACGAGAAAGTTTTTGTTTTCTTACTAAAGAAAGGTGAAAATCAAGTACCTCCTACTCTTCCTTCCCATCCACGTTGTACATTTTGTAGTTTTTTAACTCTTAGCTTGTAAGTGAATGTGGCGTCAAGTTTTACCTGTTGTCTGGCACTGGTCTTATTGAAGGACGACTTTGGATCATTTGAAGTGTAGATGGAGTACCAGCCACTGTGCACTTTAGGGTTACTGTTCTTTCCAAAGATTTCTGGTGCCGAAACCAATCCAAATTCGAAATCATTCACCCATTCCAATGCCCTAATTGTTCCTCTCCACGCTATCAGAATATCTCTCCGTCCTAACACTGATTTTCCTTCATCTGTGGCCACAGCAACAAACCCTATCCAGTTTGATTCCTTACTCCACGCTTCTCTCGAAAATGACCTTACAAGGAATGCCTCCGGGACATCAATTGATGAGGTCGCATAAAAGTATTTTGTTACGCTGTATTTGAATGCAGTTCCTTTGTCAATCCCGACCTTAGAGAAAAGGTCATTCTTTGCATATTTGTAGCTTCCTGCATACTTTGATGCCTTCTCAGAATTGAAGTTGTCATAAGCTGCTTGAGCCATATTTCCGTAGTGAACTATGTATCGACGAAGATCGATGTCTAAAGGGTCCAATAGATCTTCCCAGTTATTCTTTCCACTGAGGAGCTTCCATCTTTTGGCTATGGCTCCCCCTTTTCCTTTTTTGTCTGTGTTGTTGCCTATCGTTTTCCTCTTTTTTGTGAAGCATTCGAACATTTCGCCTAAACATACAATAGCAAACTTAGTTTCTGTTTTTTCATTCTTTACCCAATGAGCTTGAATCATATATAGATTCTTCTATTTGCATTATCAGGTTCAGATGCCATTTCTGATGATCTTACCCTTTTTCTCCTGATTACTTTTCATTATATTTTTTAGCAAAACGATGATAATTCATGGATATTATATATCATGATCATGTAGTATGAAACATAAACTAAGAGTGATAAATCTACATTTCTTATTATTTGTGATAAATATGAAATGCAATAATTAGCATGTTAAAGCATCTACCATTTACAGTGATTTAATATTATCATTAGTGGAGCTGACATTTACGATAATTTTGTTACACGTATAGTTCTGTTTTACATCTGATCTTTTTGGACCATTTCATAGTTAAATGAACAATTAGAAGAAAGGTTCTGAACCAAGATTCAAGTAATTAATCACATATATCTTTATTCAAAATTGTACGCGTGCAGAATTTTACACTCCTAGATTTGCCTGTGATTTCTAAAAAAATCGAAGTGCAAGAATTGTTCTTCTTGACTGGGAGGAGATTTTGGTAGCTTTCTCGTATTGATTGATTTAAACTACAAAGCTTATCACGAAGAGTCATAGAAGAATCTTGACGTAGAACACAAACGAACAACAACGAGATTAAGAAAGAAAGAGAGAGAAAAGAGAGAATTTAGAGAAAGAAAATATAAGTTTTATTTGACATCAGGGTGTAACTATTACAATACACAAGTTTCCTTTATTTAGGGTTTAACTAGTCTAATTTAAGTGGGAAAATACTAGAAAATCCACTAAAATTTTATTAAATCAAACCCTTTTTATGTTTTCTAAAATAAGTATCCAATTTGAAAATTAAACGATTAATAGAATACTAGAAAATCTATTAAAGAAAACCCTAATTACGTTTCTTAAAATAAGTATCTAATGTGGAAAGTAAATTCCCATCAGATATTCTCCTGATCACAGAAATATAAAAACCTGCTGCAAATATGTATGTTACTGGACAACTCAATTAGTAAAATTACATGCTACAACTGTGTGCTTGCACTTTACTCCTTAAATTGGGCGACGAGCCACCAACCAGAACAAGGTTGGGGAAAGAAGGTACAGAAACCAAAAGGAAAAATTAACTACGACTGTTTAATTGTGTTTCTCTATGCAAAGAATATGATTCTTTTATATCTTATACTATGAATACGACCCAAGAAAGGGGTGTAGAAAACTCTTTTTCTTGTGTTGAAACAGCTACGTTATTTCATCCTCTCTAAAACCTGTCTCATTCTCACATAAAAGAACCCTTTAATAAGCCCTTAATTTCTCTCCCGCCTCTTGAAAATGCAGAATGAAGAGAATAAACAAATGCAATTGCTTGCATACCTTGAAACTCCTGATAGAATGTCACCAGCTTGAAGCCTTTATTTTGTGGGGTATTTGATAAAAGGCCAAGTATATATACCCATCAAATGTAGGTGCTGATTGTGGCGCATATATTCTATACATTGATGATGATAACATTGGGAATTCAGATTAAATGTCCATTTCCATTTTAATATTCTTAGATTCAAAGGCCAATCCACCCAAAATACAAGCAAGCATGAGTTTGCCTGAAGAAACCTTTCTCCTCAAAACGGTTTTCCTCTTTGGTAAAAGACTATTGGAAAATGCAATATGTGTGTTTGTCTTTGCCTAAAAATGCAATGAGCATTTGGAATTCAATTTGAAGCATCATTTTTTGTACATGTCACTTGCCATTTTGAATGTTGTTAAGTAGCAATTGCGTGCACTTATTAAATGCTTGTTATAGTTGGTTAGGATTTGACACGTTAGCACAATATCATATCCCGAGAAAGAAGAATTCTGAGTTCAAGTTTTGACTGTCTTAAAAAATAAATGAGTAAATGTAAAGAAATATATTTTGTGCTGACGTTAATGGCTTTTCTTGAGGACTTATAAAAACTCAATTATTAAAATCACCAAATGAAGCCACGCATGGAATAAATAAGCCTTACAAGGCAAGGCAAGGCAACTAAGCAAGTAATTCCTCAAATATTTTGTAAGTGTCAAGAAATAATAATAGTTTTATAACTATGCTAGGGCCCTTCCTTTTTCCTAGGATAATTGGCGCAACACCTTTGCTCAAATTGCGATGTTGGTCCAATCCTTTCAAAGGTGCGACCGGAAGAAGTTGAACTTTTTTTATATTTTTAATATTTTGCTATTGGCTTTTTGAATGGTTAAAGTCATTTAACAAAATGCCCACGGGAATAAAAACAAAACAAGGGCAATTACATTGCGAATAAATCAGCAGGTACAGGTCTTTCTGTGCAAAATATGTGAGTTTTTTCCTGTACTTATAGCATTGTTCTTACATTACAGCCACAAAATTAACGATCCTTTTGAGTGTAATCCGTCCAGAATGATCATTACATCCCATTTGAAAGATTTGAACCAAAAATTTAATTTGAACGAAGATTTGGGACCATTTATGCAACTTTCTTTTTCCTATCATTTTTACATATATATTGTTCTGTACTTTGGCCCATGAAAATCAAAACTATCGATTATGTGACCGACCAAATCTGATCTCTATTTTAATTTAATATTACACGTGTATCGTACGTGACTAGCCATGTATCTCTAACCTTGGCCCCAAATAAATGAATTATATATCCTTCTAATTTATTTTTTTCTTCTTCTAATTATCGGTGCGGTCTCTGATTTTTTGTGATCATAGCCTAAACTATAGTAATCTGTATCTCTTTCTCTTGGAATATTCTGAATATATAGTGAGTGATACCTATGAGAAAATCTTGCTAACAGAATTATTTTAAAATTTTACTTCTATTTCTTCGGCTATTTCCATTTTCTATCAGAGACATGCTATAAGTACAAGAAAAATTCATAGCTTTATGTCTTCATGTGATTCGCTGCTGCCAAAAAACTGTTTTTGGCAACAGCAAATCACAGGAAGACACAAAAACTTGTGAAATTTTCTTGTACCTGCAGATTTATTCTTTCAAAAGGGATCGGAAATTTATAAAATAAATAACTCCATAGTGTCTTTCGTATAACGTATACTTTCATCTTACAGGTGCCTTTATCAGGCGTTTTAGATCGACATATAAATAAAAAAGACAATTTATTAGATGAATGTCTTCCTACTACACATACAAACTTATGTATGTGTCGGATTTTGATATGCAAGAGTGACCATGTTGCGTTGGAGTTAGGAAATTATGTTTATAGTAGCTCTTTTCGAGCTTCGAATAAGAAGAATATTCTCGTCGTGGCGCTAATTTATGCTTTGGAATTGTCTATATCAAAAGTTTTATACAAATCGGAGAACATATCCTAACCGTCCAAGTAAGCTCTAAGTTAATGGTCAAATTTGCATGGGATCAGGCTTTATAAATAGCATGCACATCCACCACCAATTACACACAACTCAGTACTCACATCTCTTGATTCTTGACTTTTAATTTTCATTTATAGCACCATGGCTGAAGAGAAGCAGCACCACCACCTCTTCCACCGCCACAAAGACGAGGAGGAGGAGGAGAAACATGCCTATTCTGAGAACACCTATGGCTCTGATGTCACTGGTGACCGTTACAACACAACCGGTGGTGCTGACTATTATACCACTACTGGTGGTGGCTACAATACCACTGTAGGTGGTGGTCGCTACAGTTCAGATACTGCTGGTGGCGACTACAATACAACCGCAGGTGGTGGCAGATATAATACAGAGACTGCTGGTGGAGACTACAATACAATCGCTGGTGGTGATTATGAAAAACCAAGTGATGATTATGAGAAAGAAAAGAAGGAACATAAGCATAAGGAACACCTCGGCGAGATGGGGACTGTTGCTGCAGGGGCTTTTGCCTTGGTAAAAATATATATTCTTTTTACTCCTTCGACATAATTGAAAATATAATACAAACAAATATTTCATGTGTCTTTGTTTACGTTACAGTACGAGAAGCACGAGGCTAAGAAAGAGCCCGAGCATGCCCACAGGCACAAGATAGAAGAAGGAATAGCAGCAGCAGTCGGGGTTGGATCGGGTGGATATGCTTTCCACGAGCATCACGAGAAGGAGGAGGCCAAGGATGAAGAAGACAGGGCAGAGGGAAAGAAGAAGCACCACTTCTTTTAATTAACTCACGAGTTCCTTCGTTACTTAAGGGTGCTGTCTTAATTTTTATTGTGGTGTGTTTTGCTATTAATAATATTTTGAGTGAATAAGAATTGTAATTTTAATTACGTAAATAAGGTGTAAAATGACCTGAGAAGGGCTCTATAAAAAAAACCCTAGTATGCAGTACGAATTATGGTATTGAGTGAGTTCTAGTCCATCCGGACCGTGTCACTGTTATTTTATGAGTTTGTAATAAAATTACTTTTTTAAGTTCTCGAGTTTCTCTATAAATGAGACTTGATTAAGAATATGTTTTCCTTTTTATTAATTAAAGTTTTAGCCCCCGTTTGATCTACATTATTATCTCATTAAAATGAAAAATATAACCATTATCCATCATGTCAACATTTAAATTCAAATTTTCTATCTCTTATGTGGGTCCAATAACGGATATATATTTCATTCTCATTCTACAATAATTTGGCTCAAACAGGGTCTTATTTCTTCAGTTTTTCGAGTCTTCTCAATACCATCTCAATATTTGCCTGCGGTTGTCTCAATTTATGGTCCATTTGATAGGATTTTTATTTTGTTTCTGTTTGTAAAAGATCTTCCTACGAAAGTTATCTTAGATTAGCTACCTTTAAAAAAATGTTTCAAAAACATCTTTTAACTTTTCGAAAATGTCAAACGAGCCTTAATTATGTTTGACAATCTGAGGGCGCGCTAAACAATATTAAATGAGACATAACTGATCTGCTTTACACATGTCGACATAGACCCCAAAATTAAGATGTCGATAACCAAAGAAGTTGGATTCATTAATGTCAAATTAAAAAAATACGACATCAAATTCAATTGATATAAACGTTGGCCCTTCAATTTTTATCAAATATTATCTCTATAATAATGATCTTTTAGAAAAGTGGCACCATATTGCTCTTACAATGGCCCATGAAAATCAAATATCGAAATAATGTAAGATAACATTAACACATTATTAACAATAAGAAACAAAATATGTTCACACGTGACTTATACCTAACTATCAATCCACAACTTGTGGCCCAAATATATTATCTACTCTTGTCTGTTTTTTCTTTTTCTTTTTCCTTTGTGAAATTTTTTTTTTTTTTTTTTTTGGTGTCATGGAATTCATTGCATCAAGTTGGTGTAGGGTAGGAATAATTTTAACTGACAATAATTATGGTTATTATAAGATTTATGTTATATTTGAACGGATTATTATCCAAATTTATGAAATGTTTAGTATGTTAACTAATACACACTAAGATATCCAACTTAACATGGAACCTTTGAGAATCATACAATCATCGAACCTTTTTTTATCATGACTCGACCCATACCTAAGATTCAAAATCTACCACTTCACTCTGAGGTTCTTCTTTGAATGTCCCATTGCTTCACTACTACATTTAGGGACGGAAATGATCGTGAAAGAAGTTCAAAGTATTCACAACTAAGTACTAAAAATGGTTGCAACCCTTATCTATTTGTTTTTTTTGTCTTCACATTTTAGTAAATGGTAATAATTTTGAAATTCAAAACCTAACAATTTATATCATGAGCTAACAAAAATAATGCACCGCCTATATCGAACCAAATATGTCCTCAATGCAATTATCACAAACATGGCATTTTCTTGTTAATTTGTTAGGTACACGAGTTTTAAATTATTTTATAAAAAAATCCTATTTTGTTGTGCTCCTAGTCAAAAGAGACTTTTATAGCAAAAAGATCCTATATATATGGCGGAGCCCAGTATGGTCCAGTGTGGGCACAGGCCCACACTAAACTTCTGGGCTCGAAAATTTGGGCCCTTTTTTTTTTTTTAGTTAGAACCCAGGCCCCAGCTTCCAAGCCCAAAAAATTATCATTTTTTCTCCTTCCCACCCAAGCCCAGTCCAGTCACCCAGAAGTTCCTAGCCAAGTAGCCCAATCCCTCCCACCGAATCACTCCCCAGTCTCCAAACCTGCTCCCACCGATCGTCGCGACCGTCGTTCTTCACTTCTTCTCTTCTCCCCCTTCTTCGTTTGAGCAGCCGCATCTTGTTGGACCAGTTCCAGACTTCAATTGAAGACAAAAACCAAGCCTGGAGTCTCCATTTCAGCCTCCACTTCACGACCCATCTGCTCCAAGCTTCCAACTCCAAGCCTGAAGCCTCCACAGTCCTACAATCCTACCCCCTACTCCGCCTCACCTCCAACCACTAGGGCCCTCCGTTAGTCCATTTCACAGTTGAAATCGGCGAATCGCTAGCACAGTAGCACCCGTAAGTAATACACAGCTTTAGCCTTTATGCACTATTGAAAATTGAAATTTGAGTTGAATCGTTTCTATTTTGTGTTTTCCATCCTTACAGAGGTGAATTGAAATTTGGGTACATGGCTTTACGCTTCAGCCTTCTCTAGTTAGTTTACTGCCTTACTGGTTAGTCACTCTGCCTCTGTGACTGTTATGAATTGAAATTTAGGTTGATTGTTTATTGAAATTTGGGTATTGTTGAGTAAAAGTTGTTGAAGTTTGGGTATTACTGGATTAAAATTGTTGAAATTTGAGAATTGTTGAAATTTGGGTATTGTTGAGTAGAAGTTGCTGAAGTTTGGGTATTAATGGATTGAAATGGCTGAAATTTGGGAATTGCTGGATTGAAGTTCTTGAAATTTGGGAATTGTTGAAATTTGGGTATTGTTAGCTGAAATTTATGAAGGGATTCTTTCAAAGAAAAAATGATTTGGACAACGTAAATGTTGACGAGGGGATCACAGGGACATCGAATAATGTAGAATTTGATGTCACTAAACTTCCAACTGATCCTGGTTTAAAGATACCCATTTTGGATTACAATGCTAATATCCGAGATCAAGTTCGAAGAGCATATATGTTAAAGGGTCCTTGTCAGCTACATGATCATGACTTTTCAAAACGACAATTTGGAGTAATTTCTTTTTCTTTTTATTTTTCCTTTGTGACATTTTTTTTTTTTTTTTTGGTGTCATGGAATTCATTGCATCAAGTTTGTGTAGGGTAGGAATAATTTTAACTGACAATAATTATGGTTATTATAAGATTTATGGATTATTATCCAAATTTATGAAATGTTTAGTATGTTAACTAATACATACTAAGATATCCAACTTAACATGGAACCTTTGAGAATCATACAATCATCGAACCTTTTTTTATCATGACTCGACCCATACCAAAGATTCAAAATCTACCACTTCACTCTGAGGTTCTTCTTTGAATGTCCCATTGCTTCACTACTACATTTAGGGACGGAAATGATCGTGAAAGAAGTTCAAAGTACTCATAACTAAGGTTTTCATGTACTAAACATGGTTGTGACCCTTATCTCTTTGTTTTTTTTTTTTTTTCTTCACATTTTAGTAAATGGTAATAATTTTGAAATTCAAAACCTAACAATTTATATCATGAGCTAACAAAAATAATGCACCACCTATATCGAACCAAATATGTCTTCAATGAAATTATCACAAACATAGGATTTTCTTGTTAATTTGTTAGGTACGCGAGTTTTAAATTATTTTATAAAAAAAAATCCCACTTTGTTGTGCTCCTTGTCAAAAGAGACTTTTATAGCAATTAAAGTAATAAACGATATCTTTTTTCATGAAATAGTGATTTGATGGAGAATGTGTGATTAAAAAAAATATTAAATTTCCGCGTAATATCATTTTATTGAAGAATTTGTGATTAAAAATAAGAGATATAAAAATGTATTTTTGAAATAATGAGCACCAAACAAGCTCTTTAAGACTTCAAGTCGCCATTTGACAAAGCATAAGAAAAGTTGGATCACAAATCTCAGGAAAAATTATACACGACATTTTGTATCCTCCCTCGGACGCGATGTACTTCACAAAAGAGGATAATGCAAAAATTACCTTGTTTGTCTATCTTGTTTAATCATATTTAATCTTGTTGAATTCAGTATGCTAAACATAATATTTCGTAGTCAAAAGTAATTTCTATAGTTTATTTATTTGGTCATACTTATGAAATTTCTTTACCTTATAATTTTCTTTCACGAAAAGTAAAATTAATAAAAAATGATACATTAAATTAATGGCAACTTGTTAAATTGGTATAAGAATTCAACTTAAATCTCTCATCCGTGAAGGGTATGATAAGCACGGTCTCTCTCAATGTGAACAGTATGTATGAGTTAATAATTTGGGCACAGGTCTGATCGTTACATAATGGGTTTTTGAACTGGGTGTTGTAAATAACTCTAGTTCGATAAGTGAATTGGCAAATTTGCGTTGAGCAAATATCAAAATTTATAAACATCTAGCAAATAAGCAGGTCAAATCTTGAATTTGTTGTGCGAAATTATGCGGGGAACTTGCAAAGGTCAGTGGAAATTATGAATATGCCCTGCCTCAGCTAATATCACTATACAAGGAAATTATGAATATGCCCTGCCTCAGCTAATATCACTACATGGAAATTATGAATATGCTAATATCACTACATGGAAATTATGAATATGCCCTGCCTCAGCTAATATCACCATCCAACTAATTGCGCCATTTATGCCTACCACGAAATTGTCAACATCTATGGGCCCATGCCCTTGGTATGGAATTTCATTTTATAAATTGCACGCTCTACAAGCCATTACAACACAACTCACCATTGTTAACAATTTTCATTTACTGAATCAGGGATTGTCATTAAATTCCACCACCACCATGGCTGAAGAGAAGCACCACCATCACCACCACCACCATAGGGACCAGGAGAAACCGGTCGAGGCAGTTTACTCCGAGACTGCCTACGGCTCTGATGGCGCTGGTGGTTACTATAAAGAGACCGACGCTGTTGGTATCTATGGAAAACCGAATGAAGATTATGTTGAGTACGAGAAAGAAAAGAAGGAACATAAGCATAAGGAACACCTTGGCGAGATGGGCGCCACCGCTGCTGGTGCCTTTGCCTTGGTAAATTCTCTTGTTTTGTAGGGTCGATTATCATAAATAGATGACAGCCATACTTAACTATGATATTTGCTTACTTTGATATTATCGTTTCAAAGTATAAATTGTTAGAGATGCGACAAATTTATTATTTTAAGTTATATGCAAAAAAATTACTTATTTTTGTTTTTTAATCACGTTCAGTATGAGAAGCACAAGGCAAAGAAAGACCCCGAGCATGCCCACAGGCACAAGATTGAAGAAGAAATAGCAGCAACAGTAGGGGTTGGAGCCGGTGGATATGTATTCCACGAGCATCACGAGAAGAAGGAAACCAAGAAAGAAGAAGAAAGGGCAGAGGGAAAGAAACATCACCACCTCTTTTAACTCTCGTGTTTAACTCGGAGTGGATGTTTGGTACATCGTATAAGACTAAACTGAATAATATAATTAACAAGATTTCAGTCATATCATGTACCAAACATGTCAATAACGAGTGTCTTTAATTTCTATGGTTTCGTTTGTTCTGCCATAAATAATATTTGTGCGTAAATAAGTATGGTTTCACCAGCAAACACGTGCACTGTTTTTCATATATAATGTTATATGTGCTGTGTTGGTTTGTAATTAGTTAAATACTTTGTGTTGTTTGTTTTTCCTATAAATAAGTACTTAATTACATTTCATTTTCATCGTTTCTTTTTAATTAAATAGTTGTGTCGAGTATTGTTACATACCCTGATTCGAACAGAGGAGTACATCATGTTAAGGTATTTTGAATGATCTACATCTCAGGATTAGACGTCAATGAGCACATTAAATTAATCATGTGGTTGAGAACCCTCATAATCCAAGCACAACGACCCATTTTATCATGGACGCACTATATCACTGAGCTAATAATCCATCGTGCAAGCCTTTCCCATAAAATAGTCCACCCCTTTACAAGAAATCACGTTTATTTCCAAAAAAGAATTTAACCCAAAAGATATTTTCAATATTTGCAATCCTTCCACAATTAATTTCAATCTCCAAGAAAAAGAAACTAATCTCATCGCGAATGTGATAGAAAATCGTCGTTTGTAGTTGCATATTCTTTTCAGAACTCTCCCCATGATTCTTCCCAATTGGGCTCCAACTGCTAATTTCTCAAAGGTTTGGGATTTTCGTTGGCACAAACTGAAGATTAGAGTAAAGTCTACTAAAAATTCAAATGTTTTAGATTTTTGCTGCAATTTTCCGTTATAATTATGTTGAAAATGGAGTTGAGAGAGAGAGGGACCATAAATAAAGCAAACCAATAAGGCGACACCACCTCTTACAAGTCGATATCAATTGATGGAAGTATTCAACAAAACCATTAATAAAGTTTACTTTAAGTGAAATATAAATCTGCTCACAAGAATTTGATGTTCCTAAAATGGGACTTCAATATTTAAATTTTAATTCTTTATCTCCGATTACCATTCGATTTTTAAAATTTATCTTAGTTGAGCTCATGATTTCCTATTATTTCTTCGTCCGGACATATTGGTAGATTCAAAAATATTAATTTCTTCATCGATTGAATGTTGCTAACGGTCGTATTTAATACTTAATCGTGTTAACACCTTAATCTAAATTGATAGAGAGACGTAACTTTTCGACAACTAATTAGGTCCACTGCCTAAGATAAGATGTCTTGATTTTAGGTATGAAAACTACACTTCATATTATTTCATCAAATTTTCATTTAGGTCACCAAATTCAACTGCTTTTCTTTTTTTGGAATGGGCCGATTGCATAACTTTCAGGGGGCTCAGTACAAACAATTGTATGAATGTGTATATCGGGCTTTTAAATAAGGTAATAATGTCAATGAAAAACTAATGGCCCATTAGAATATTTAAAGAAGTTAGCTAATGTCCATTTTCAGTTTGACAAAAACGAAAGGGAAAATTACATAAAAACAGGTAGTTAAACTTTCAAATTCAAAAATCAGGTGTCAAGTTTATTTAATCAAAAATCAGGTATTAATTGAATATTTTATTAATTTATTAATACATATAAAAATTAATTAATCTACCCTGATCCATTCCATACCCTAATTCATTTTCATCCCTTTCTTCTCTCCACACTCTCTCTTCCTCCTCCATTTCTTTGTACCTTCCCT